ATTACCAATCGCTGTGGACAATTATTATCTGATATAAGCAATAATCATAATTTTTTACTTTTATTTTTTAAATCTAATATCGTAAATAATAAACTTCACAGTCATACAAATAATAAAATTGTATCATGTTTATTTCTTTTCTTAATTAAGCATGTTTCAATCCTATTTTGATTGGTTGTTTGAATGAGAGTAAAGGATTACATTTCTACATACATTTACTATGATCCTCATAACTTATTTTTTAATTTCATTCTTTACACCATTGTGTTGATTTATGAATTATTGCACTGAAAATTTTTGAGTTATTTTAACTTTTGTTTTTATTGCAATAGAAACGTTGTAACTAACTGCAATAAAAAATGCAGCCTTTTTTCTGCAGTTATGTTAGAGATTCTGATTTTATCTAAAAATATTAAATCTTTAACTAGCTAGGAAACTTTTTTTAATTCTGTCATTGGAAAAAAAAGTAAATTTTGTACTTATTTTTGTAGTTTATCAAATGCACATATGCTTAACCATAACGGCCTTGCAGCCGAATCGCATACTGCTATTGATTATTAACTAGTAAAGGTATTTAGCAAATGTAATATATTGCCATTTTTGAGAAAAATTCTTATTCACATTTTCTCATAACAGTTTTACAATCAATTTCAACACGTAATGAATAGAAAAATCTTTCATTTGAAACAACCTACTTATAAGATATTTAAACATAATATTTTTTTAACCAATAACATATTATAAATATATTTTTTAACGAATAACATTTATTTTTTAACCTACAATATAATTTAAAAATAAAATTTTTTAGCCAATGTATTTCAACTCTTGAAAACTATTTTTATCATCGAGTTGGTTTTAAAATACAAATTAAATAAACAGCTAGTCAAATAAAATTCCAATATTTTATTTTAACTTTATAGTTTATCTGTGGCAACTTATACTGTAAAATACACATTTCTGAATTCTACTGTGGCATATCACACTGGGAAACAAAACTAAGCAATTTTATGGAAATATCCTTTTCCTGCTCTTTCCTTGCTAACTTTCCTTGCCAAACCTATTGTCTTTAGGTATTTCAAATTCATTTCACTCTCCCCAAAACCATATGTTTATAACAGTTATGTTTCGTGTCTTTCACTCACTTTTTTCCCTGACTCAGGTAAGTGCAACATATCTTATATTCTTCTGGGGCATTCTGAGAACATGACCGAGCCATCACCATTTAGGTTCTTCTTTCTGTGGTATTTATTTTAGCTTTTTCCTAAGGATTTATAGTTCATATTTTGTAAGACCAGAGCGCTTTAAAAATATCTTTAACATTTCTTTTTTTAAAAATTTGGATTTTTTTTTAATTTTTATTTTCATCATCTTCTTTTTTTTATTTTTTTTTTAATTTCGGCACCTTTCTGAAGTACTATTTTGACAAATATGGAATTTTATCCGAATTTCATTATTGATGAAAAATTTTACTAAACTTTTCTTATAGTCGAAAAACAATTTTGTTTTAGAAAAAAATTAAATTTAGGGACTTTAAGGATTTTATTTTTGTAGCATTCAAATTTTGCGATCTTTATAGTATTTTGTTTTTAATATTCAAATTTGAACCTTTATACCATTCAAATACACAATGTAAGATTCAAATATAGTTTGATAGACAAATGTAATATTGATTACTATTGTTGTAAAACTAAGTTATAGTTAAACTAGGTTTGTTGATTAGAGTTTAATAAATTGAAATCTTTAGTATGAAGTTAGTAAGTAACTTTAATCTGTAGCATATTTATATTTTCTTAAATTTCGCTAGATAGATACAAAATAAAATTTTCTTTTAATTTTTATTTAAGTTAAGTATTTGTAAGACAGACAGTAGTACCTAGCAGTACTATGACTTGATTTAAGTAGAATAGGTTTTGAGGATTTTTGCCTATCAAATTTTTTTGATACAAGTGTATTATAGGTTATTATTATTACTTTATTTTTATTATTTCATACTATTTATATTTATCAGGTTACTGTTAAGTTCAACTAACCTGGTTTAATTGAGGAGAAAATGCAAGTGTTATTTTTAATGGTACTTAATCAGTTTATTTATTTTAAAAATGTTTACATAAACTGATTAAACTAATGTTTAATCCATCATGCCTAACTAATCATCAAAACACATTAAAAAAAAAATTAAGCATAGCAGATATTACCATGTTTTAGATATGTTGGTTTGTTCAAGCGAAATTCTGTAAAATAATGCATATTTTATTGTAAAAATAATGTAAATTCAGAAATATTACTTTCATAAAATTAAAAGTAAAAATAAACCGTTGCTACAACTTAACTAATTTCAACTAATTTTTACCTCAATTTTTTTTAGTAAATATTACAACTGATCTAGTGTCATTTATTTTATTGGCAACTTGTCCTTTTAAATCTATAACTCAGGTGTATTTTCTTGTGAAAATGTGACAACTACATAGTGTATTAGATATTTTTATAAAAATTAAAATAAAAATTTGTAATATTGGCATTGAACCTCCCTGCAGTTCACACATCTTAGCAGTTTTTAAATATATATCAGCCATTAATTATTTTTTTCCTCAATTTATCAAATCAAGTTTATTAAACATAATAAAGAGGAAAGAATCTGACCAATTTTTCAAGCTTGTTAGTGTGAATGGTTAAATTAAAAATATTTCTTTAGTTGATGGTTTACTTTTACTTAATAATAAAGAAATACTAATTTTTAAAATGAAAATCTCAAAATATTTCTTAGCTGCAGTACATGTCACAGTGATTTTAGCATGTAACTTTATTGTGTTGCAATCGCCTGGATGTTAAATTTTAGTTTTTGAGACACATTTATAAAAATTCAAAAACCTTGAAATTTTTTAAAAATTATTTAAAATTCAAATTCAAAGACAGTTTTATTACAAAATTATTCTGAATTTGAGAATCCTAAAATATACTTTTTAAACTTTATTATGTGCAAGCTGTTTTCTTAAACTAAAATTTCACAATTTGTTTCCTTTTATATAATCTAATATCAGTACAGAAAAGCAAGCTTACTTTTTATATTCCAGTGTAAGTGAAACTGAACTATTAGTGGTGAAAAAATAAGTGTAAAATTACATATTCTGTAGCTTTTGCTATAAATTTATCTATATTTTTCTATAGCTTTTGGATTGTTAAGCACACTAATCGACATCAAAATGAGATGTTAGGTATAGTGACAAAAAAAGGATGACTCTACATTGTTAAAAATTCATTCACTACTTAAGTAAATCTTGACTAAAATATTAATTTGCAACCCTTCATGTGTAACTTATTGAGGCTTCAGTTTTGATAAGGATTCATAAAATATGTAATAAGGACAGTATGGAACATCTCATCTACTGATTACTCAAATAAAATTTTTTAAAAAGGGCTAAAAGCAAATAAATTTATATTAATCCATGTATTTATTGGGAGATTGATATATCCTAGTTTACAATGAAAATAATCATAAAAAACTAATAATCAATAAAAAGAAATATATTAACACAAATTGTAACAATGAGTATTTATTTTTCACTATATATCTTTTGAATTTTTCTGCATACTTATTAATTATTCCTGCCTTTAACTCTTTCTTGAGTGTTAACCCCATAACTCTTATCTCTTTTATTGCTTTTTTGACTTTCTTGAATGTTATTTTTAGATACACCTTTAACTGTTTAGTCTGCTACAGTTGAAGGAATGTCAATTAGTTTTACGATTCCCTATTTGCTTAAATATCATTCGTAGTGATAGAAACAGTAAATGCTTCTTGACAATTCACTACTAATAATGAGTTTCTGTAAATTTTTGATGATTTCAAGACTTTACTTAAGCAGTTTTCTGATTTCATTTGTAAAAGGCTATGATTAGTTCATGCAGGACTTTTATGTATAGTACTCGTTTATATTTTAAAAAATTTCCCAAGTAGTGAATTATTGATAAATTGCAAAGACATCATCCTTGCACTTTTGGGTCATTTTTATATTTACGAGGTTAAGTTTATTTATATTAGTAATTTATGAGTTGACTAACACACACATAAATAAACTACATTTGCCTGTTGCACATTGCAAAACAAAAATAAATTGTGCCTACTTGTAAAATGTTATGAGATAGAGGTTTCGGATTTACATTGACTTTATTTGTTTTAATTTTTTAGCATTTTTTTCTTTACGATTGACTTATAAATAGTCCAGGAAAATTAATTAATGCATGTCAAATAGCAAAATGGGTTAAAAAGGTATATTTCTTTCAGTTATGAAACTAGTTTTATGCAGTCAAATTTATCATTTGATTTTGCAAGAATATTTAGAACAGTTTTGCAAGCATACTTAAGACATTTTTGCAAGTTTGTGAAACCTATGTTTAAATGTGGCAGACAATCTTAAATTTCATGATATTTATAAAAATTTTGTATAAATTTTAACTTAAAATATATACATTCCATCCTATCTCGTGAAAAATATCTGATACGTATTCTCATACTAATTATTTAAATTATGGTTTTATAATTTAACACTTTCAATGAATTTAAATATATTAAAAATGGAAAAAGAGTCACTGAATTTAAACTTGGGTAGGAGAAGAGTTATTGTGACTCGACCTTCTTTGTAGTGGAGTTATAAAACTAAACATATTAAAATTCACATATAAAAGTTAGTTGCATCACATTGTTTTCATTGTTTTATATATTAACACACTATTATAATGTAGTTGTTTACAAATCTCATTATATTAAATCGTTTTACATGAATTTGCACCTTAATTAAAAAAATATTCATTTTTTAAGGAACACAACTTATTTTGCCAGCATTTAAAGCTATTTATCAAAGATAATTGATCGCTTTTTATAATGTATGCTTGAATAAGTAAAAATTTTAGAATTTAATATTTTATCGATGCTTTTACAAACTAGCGCTCTTATTTATTTTTATGTGTTTTCTTATATCTTCATTTTTCCTGTTCTACAGTTTTATGAAAGGTATCAGCAGTCTTTTTAGTCGTATATCTCCTGATGTTAGCCATATTCATAAATCTCGGTCATATGACTTGACGGACAAAGGTATATCTTCCAGTCCATCGCCTAGCCATAGTAGTGGGAAAGAACCAAATAAGAGTACTATTAGTATTGGTGATATTACTTTGCATTCTTCATCACCTCACCTAGGGGGTCGGAGCCAGCGAGATAAAGGTAATTAGTTATGAGTGGTATTTTCATAAATTTTTGAACAAGCATTTTCTATAAGCAAATCTTAATTGGTACAGCTCTGATTGTTTTTCTGCATAAAAAAACTGCTATGTGAATCGGTTCAAGAGATGGTGAGATTTAATTCATAGTTGTCCTAGTGTTCAACACTTGGGGCATTGATTTTTATTTCTGTAATTGGGATATTTCATTAACATATTAACCAAGTCAATGAATTTATAAAATGATTACTAAATGTACTTCAACTCTTTTATCGTTTTTTGCTTTTAAAGCCAGCAGTGTTAACAAGATCACATTTTATGACATTAGTTGGAAACTAATAAACTTTGGGTAAGAAAAATTAATTGTGAATCATATATGTAGGAGAGACAAGAGAGATAGAGTATGTGTAAATGAATGCTAGAAAATCGAGGAAGGGCTTTGCTTTCTTAGAATTACTCTAGGGAATGAGGAAAAATTAGTTTAGTAAGAAGATGAGTGAATGAACAGGGAAATGAAGTGAAGGAGATAAGAAAAAAACTTGTTTAGCTTTCATATTTATGAAGGAAAAGATAACTTGTTTCATTCCTGGTTCGTGACGAAAATGTGGCAGACCAGAAAACTGACAATCTTACTGATGAGGGTTAGACATATTCTTTATAATCATTCCAATTTTTCTTTTGATGGTCTCTTGTAAATTTATTATAAACATGTTAAATTTTATATTAATCTTTGATTTTTTGTAATTTTATTTGTTTATTGTTGGGATTGTGCTTTAATCTTCCATAAAAACGAACTTATCAAGTGTGGTTATAAAATGTTGAAATATTTTTCACAAATCTAATTTTGTAATTATATTCCTAAAATCCATTTAATTAAATAATTTGGTTTCATAAATTGTTTATATTTTCCTTTATTTCATTTATTAATGTTTTACTAATATTTTAGATGTACGTCATATTAAAACATATTAATTTTGTTAATTTACTGATTATAATAGGTACTGTTGGTACCATTTAACCGCCCCCTCACAAAATCTCATGTTTTTTGTCATAATTTGAGTTCATCTTAATCTGTAATTTACAGTATATGCTTTATAAAAATACTATATTTATAAAGATATAAATGTTTAAAATTCCAGAAAGCAAAGAAGATTCAAATGAGTCATTAATAAAGCCTAAAGGAGTTGATCGTTTTGGTCCTGGATCCTTACATTGTTCTAATCCATTTTTGTTAGCGGAAATGAAATCTCGCCAAGAGAAAAGAACACCTTCTCATCATAGTTCTATGGTAATTATTTTTTAGCTTATTTTATGATGATTACTTTCATTACATTCTACATAAAAAAAATATGTCTTTTTGCAGACAGTTGAGGAAAAAGGCTTATCTAGTACATCAGAAGGTGCATCTATTCTAGCAAATGTTAAACTTAAACCGACTGGATTGAGCCAAACATTAATATCTCCTACAGATACACAGCAAAGTAACACTGAGGATTCAGCATCACAGTCATCAAATTCTGCTACTGTCACTTCCACACCAGGTGAATGAAAGTTTTGATCAATAAAAGTATGCATGTTCTTTATTAGCAGTATGACTAGTATGTGGTCTTTATTGCCTGTACAATTAGTAGACTATCTTTATTGTTTGTAATTAGTAGGTTTCATGGTGTGTAGCGTTTTTAAAAAGTGCTTAAAGGTGCTCATTTTCAATTTTTGTTATTTAAAAGCCCTTAAAGGTGCTTTTTTCATGGATTGTTTTTAAAAAGCGCTTAATTTTCCCTTTTGGAGATTTTTTCTTTACTATGTTGATTTTGCGTATTATGCAAAAGCATGCTTTTCACATTGTTCTATTCAATGTTTTCACAATTCATTTCGGCATACCTTTGGTCCATAGTATATGAAAGGGCCAATAATTGTACATGTTTGATGAATTACTTGCGAGTACGTATGTGCGTCTACTGAGCTGGGTTCGGTGAGAATATTGCTTTCTTATAAGCAACTCTATTGCATCTCGCAAGATATTCTCCATTTCAAACTTCATTTTCCACCCTCTGACAGCGAACTGAAAAATCTCTTGATCATTTTATAAAGGCTATTATAATCGAGAAAAGAGTTCTTTGTCAGAAACTAATTATTTTCTCATGATCATCTAAAGTCTTTGAAAATTAGTTTGCATTTTGTTAATGTATATAGTGCTTAAAAAGTACTTCAAAGGTGCTTATTTTTTGTTGAAAGGTTTGGCTACGCACCCTGCGTTTATAAATTTTTTTTGATAATGTATTGTTATATTTCTGCAAATGGCTGTCACTTTTTTTATTAATCCTTTTTATGTGAGCCTAAATCAACAATAATGAGGTTCTTCAATTTCTATTATGATAGAAAAGGCAGGCCTCTCATCTTCAAAATGATGCTTCTTACGCTTTTTGTTTTAAGAAGACAAAAATATAATTATTATCCCCATTTCGAAAAGAAATCATAGCTTTTAAAATTATTTTATATAATATTTTCAGATTTTTTTTAATATTTTGTTTGTGTTGGAAAGATGTCAAAATTCAGAAGGGTGATTAAATTTAGATAAATTTTGCTACCAACATTTTGTTTTAATTTTTCAAAATTGTTCTCTTATAAATGTCCAATGTGCTTTTTTTGGACATCATTACACACAATGATTTTAACTGTTTTTTTTTTGTTGTTCAGGCTCTCCTCTATTGGATCCGGGTGGACGGTTAACTCCAAATCTCAAATTTAAACCACCTCCTCCCATCGCTCCAAAGCCAAGGCCAAAATCTGTTGGTGGTACTGCAGAAATGAGATTATCAGGTATGATAACAGACACTAAGCTTTCACAGTGCAGTTTATTTTCTAACTTTTTAATTTTGATTCTTCAAGAGTAAGAAAATTCTGAAAACTAATAACTTTTTGCAAACTTTTTTTATTGCTTGATATTTTCTAAATATAGAAAATAAAAATAAAAGTATACATTCTTTATTATAACCAGACAATTATCAGAAAAAATCTTCCTTACTATAATCAGGCTTGTATCTGAATTATTTTCCATTCCCTTTAAACAAAATCAGTTTTTTTTAATATTTTTTTAAAATATTTTAATTTTTTGATATATTGAGGAAATGTTTTCTAGTTTGTTCATCATTAGTTAAAAATAATTTTTTTTGTAAGTAATGACTTATTGAATGATATTTGATGTTGATATAATTTTATCACTATTCTGATATTCACTTTTTGCATTATTAGTATAATGATTATTAGTCAATATAGTTTCTTCTTTTGCTACATGCTATATTTTGCTTGCATTATATTATGAAGCAAATTTCAATTCCAAAGAGTATTAAAACTAATTTATTTTTTAGCAATAGATTCATTTTTTTAAATTTTTTACATATTGGTACAAAATATTTTCTTTTTGATTAATCGAATAAATCTGTGACAGTTTTAATGAAACTAGTTTGTTTCTAAATTGATCTTTTGTAGTAATAACTGTTGCAAAACTTTTGATTTAAACTGTATACAAAGAAGTAGTGGCAGGGGTCTGTCTAGGCTTTTCTGAGAGGTACCTATTTTGCGAATATTTAAACATAATTTGTGAAAAATTAAAAAATATATTAAAAAATCAACACAAAAATATGGTAAAAATAGGGATTTATTGTTTCTTAAGAGATAAAAAAATAAAATTTTAAGAAGAAGTATTTTGTGAAACTACCGTTTTTCCTAAAGTTGAATTTGTGAAGGTACCGCTAAATGGTAGTAAATTCAACCTGGACCGACCCCTGAGTGGTTAATTATTAAATGTAAATATATGTTGGTTAGAATGCATTATAATATTAAAAAAATTCTGTATATGTCTAAAGCAATGTTCCTTTTATCACCGCGGACCTGTCAACGTTTGATAATTTCACCGCAGCCCGCTTGGGGGGGGGCGTTGATTGTTTATATTTTTGATTTATTAAATTTGATNAACGCAAATGTTGGTTAGATAATACAGTTACACCACAAAATAAATATAAAGTGATTTAACATATTAGAACGTTAAAAAAATTAGAGCTATGAGCTTGTTTCTTTGCAATAAAATGGTTCCATCTGGGGTATTCATTGACAATGACACCTGAAGTGTGTTGCTTATGTCCAGTTTATTCCGTTGCTTTGTTCTGGTTGCTACCCTTTTTTTTAAATAAATAAAATTTTAATGTAACACAGATATTTTTAATTTGGGGAATAAACCTAGGAATATAAATTCAGTTTCAATGAAATGGGTGGCCCGGTACCATTTGATCCACGGACCGAGGGTTGGGGAACACTGGTCTAAAGTACTTATTAATTTATATTAATTTGCAGGTGATTTTTCGAATGTTAATGATGGAGAATCCCCCAAAGCTGTTAGTCCAATTGCAGAATCAACTCAAAGCAATGTATCTGAAACAGATAATGACAAAGGTATTTTGTGTGCAAATATTGTCAGTTTTTATTATTTTTTTAAAATTTATTTTATTTTATTTATTTATTTTTTGCTGGGGGAAAACATAACTTTTTAATATTAGTGTCTTCCAACAAAACAAAAATCACTACTGACTGCTAACATGCATTATATTGATAATTATTAAAGAATTTGTTTGTACTTAAGTAATTGCTCATATGTGAACTTTAAAATACATATTCTCCTTATACTTAAATAATTACTATCATAATTTGATAAAATGCAATGAAGAATAATATATTAGAAGTACAAAACATAACAGTTAGAGATTGGGTTAAAGAGACTGGAATAAAAATATCCTTTTAGTAGTGCCAAACAATTTAGGCACTAAGAAATATATACTTTTTTGCTTGCTGCTTTAAGTTTTCATTTCAATAGAAGATATTTCTAACATTGCTTTATTCCTTTAATTGCTAGTTGCTAATGTTTTATTATAACCTAATAAAATATTGATTATCTAATTTCTCTCTTTTTCAATTCATGTAGTTTTTCTGATTTCCTAATTTGTAGCATATTTGTTTCCTATTTTATAAATTGAGCATTGTAAACAATCAGTAATCACTTAAATGGGAGGTGAAAAATAACGTACTAAATTTAGCAGTCGCAGGAAATAAAATGAATTATAAGATGAACGGGGTTATTCTGAAATCCAGTTACTGATAAAATGTCTATTGGGGGAGGAAAAATGCCTGTAATGCCTTCTAATTATTCTCAAAAGGCAAATAAAAGTGGAAAAGAGTTATTTGTTTTTCTAGGAATCAGAACTTATAGAATGCAATCCGCTCATTCTATTGGTTTAACTAAGTGTAAGCAATTAACAAGCTTCCTAAAATCAAAAGTAAAGAAAATAATTTTCCAGTATATCCTTATGCTCAGTATATCAAGGTAAAATGCAAACAAGTTGAATATTCTAGAAAGTTTTATTAATTTTCCCTCCATATTACTATTCATTAGATTTTTCTGAGTTTTATACAATTAATTGAGTCACAAAACATGAATTGAGCAAAGAATATTCGAAACAATAAATTAATAAAATGAACCAGTTGCCATTTTTGAGAGTAATGGAAGATTTCAATTTTTTATTTTGTTATAACACAATATTTATTTTTTAAGACTACATTTTTCCCCATTTTTTTTTACACAGGGATGAGATTTTTCCGCTTTTGTCTCTCAAATTTCTGCCATTTTATCAAAAATTCCGATTCTCTAAAAGTTTAAGTTTTTTTAATAAATATTCTGCTTTTTCAGAAAATTCAGCCGTTAAAATAAAATAATTATATTTATTTAACATTTTCAAAGATAAACAGAAAATTCAAACTACGTAGCCTCTAGCCTTCCACATTTTTTCTTATTTTAGCTATTTTCTCCGCTTTTGTGCACAGAAAATAAGATTTTCCGCATTTTTCCTGCCCTCCGGATAGCTTATATTTTCGTAATTCAGACGTCGCTGCTTCTCTTTTCGATTCTTATTCACGCAATTTAAATATTGTACATTGCGATTCTTATTTATGAGGTTTAAAAGTCGAAATTTTTGTAAATCGCAATAAAATTTTATTTCTAAAGAATTTAAAATCCAATGTCGTGATTCGTTTATGCGGTTGTACTATCAAACATCGATTTTCGTATATGATTTAAAAATTAGACATTGGGATTCATATTCACGCAATTTCAAAATTATGCATCATTATTCGTATTTACGCGATCTAAAAATTACGCATCATGATTTGTATTTTTGCATTTTTGAAATCCAATATCGAGTTTCATATTCATGTGATTTAAAATCTAATATTCTAATACTTATACACAAGATTTTAAAATTGTGCATGTGATTATATATATATATTCGTTCTTGGATTTCCTCTTTTTTGCTTTCTGACTACTCTCATCCCTGTTTACACCAAATCATTTTTTAAAGAAGTTTGAAAAATAATAAACTATAAAGGAATACCCCTACATAAAATAATTACAACTCTTAAAAACTGGTACAATAAGCTTTATATAAAAATAAAAAATTTTAAAAATATTAATCTTAACCTCTCTATTTCTTTTCCACAATACCACCTGAGTTTTGCTTTGTACAGTTAACACCAACTGTTAGAACTAAAATTTAGTTTAATAACCGAGTTGAATAGTTCAGCACGAGTGGATGTTGTTTCTAATAATCAAAAATAAATGGGGGGCTAGTGTAATCAAACTCCCAAATTTAAGGTAGCAGTAGTTTTACATTTAATGTTGCCTATCCAATTTTATTGTATAAATAGCACTTTCCACTATGTATCAAAATCTTTCTTTCTTATCTCAATTGGAATAACTTTTTTGTCTTTATCTATTTATTCTATCTAGCATTATTTTATAATTTTTCAAACATTATTTTAAAGCTTCCGGAACCTGACAGAGATTTTTTAAGTAAGTAGATTGTACTAAGTAACAATGTAGCTAAATATATTTTTTTATTTAATACTAATTTTTATTTCTAAAATTATAACAAATACATTATTGTTTTCTGTAGCATTACACATATATGTTGCATATATTTTTCTTATTCTTTTTTTTTAAAAAAAATTTACATTTGTAAGTTTATAAAAAGAGGAGCTGCTTGATCTAAGATTTATAAAAATTGCTACATTAATGGTAGAATTTAACGGAATTAAAAAATAATCTTAACATCTTTTGGAAGATTCATTAAAGTTTGTACAGTTATGTGATGCACCACTTTTTTGCGTATTAAAATGAGTAACAGAAGTAATAGTTTGAATTTAATAGATTTTAAGAATAAATAATTAAAATCGCTTGAAAGGTTCATAAAAGTTAAGTGATAGTTATTTTTTTTGTATATTAAAATGACTTATAGAAGGGATATTCTTCAATCTTATTGTTTCTCTTTTATATCATTTATTAAAAGTAGTATTCAACACTTTCTTTACTTTATCTGTTAATTTCATACATCTGGATTCTCTTTTACCTTTTCTCAAGTTAATTTCGCTTCATTTTTTCTTAATTTATCCTTCCATTTTCGCACCTGTGTTTTTGTTTTTAAGATAATAAAATTTCTTATTTCTATACAATATTAAATTTTAACATATACAAATATAAACTGTGGAACAACTGGAAGAAAAGTATAACTAGACAAAAACTAAATAAATAACTTTAATTTGAAAAACAGATGACCCTGAAAAGTTTGATTTTAAATATCAAATATGCCAAATTTTATTAATGAATATTTCGTAATTCTCTTGAATAATTGTAATGATACCTTTTTTGCTTTTTCAATTTTGAAAAAGTAACTGATTTTATTAAGTTTCGTTAAAAAATTTTATAATAATTAAGTATCGATATTAAATGTCTTCAAATCATTTTATACTTTTGCCTGAAAACTTTTTATTTGAAAAAGTAAAAATAAATAACAAACAAATTTATGAAATGGGATACAGAATGTCAAAATATATAAAAATCTAAAATTATATGAGATTATTCTCATCCTCCCACAAAAATTTATTTTTGTTTTTACAGCATGTCAGGAGAGGCAATAACTGTCACTACTTTTTCAAAATTATCTAAAAATTTTAAAATTTAAAAATACACTAACATGTCAAAAAGAAAATATCGTACTATAAAAAATACCTATAAGTCTCAAAAATGCTTTTATTAAACTCAAAAAGTACACCAAAAAGGGGGAAAAATTAATTCATAAAAGCAAAAAATGCAAATGAGGACCTTGGGGAAATTATGGTTTATGTACATTAAAGCAAAGCTGTGATTCAGATTTATTTGTCATTTTTGTGAAAAATGGACGCTTCCGCTTTGATCTTCAAATATCATAAAAATTTGGACCATAGCAATCACTGTTTTTTTAATTATTACCTTTAATATTTTGTTAATTCATCGATTTTTACTTACTTTTATTTTTCTCAAATAGAACCTCCTCGTGCAAAATCTATGTGCTTACTATCAGAACAATCAGATATAGAATTTTCTAATGCTCTTTTAAATGGAAATCTGGATCAATTAAATTCCATGAATGGTTCAAAAGTGAATTCCTGTCATCTATCATCTACAAGTGCCAATATTTCAACTCCAGTTTCCAATGAACAAAATGATGAAAATAGGGATTTTGTTCTAGATGATGTCATACATGTATGACTTTTTATCTGTGATGCTTCTTATTGAAATCTTTTTCCTTTTAATTTAATATCAAATAAATTATTGTGATCTTTTTTATTCAGAATTTGTAAATATTTCTTTTAAAAATGCTTTTTTTTTTAAAAAATTTGTGTTTATTGTTCATAATTTTTTAGTTGATTGTACCTATATATATGTCATTTACGAATGATACAACAGCTGGGCTGAAAATACATTCTTTCAAATTGTTATTTAAAGTAACATGGAATATGAAAAATGCATAATCTTGAAATATTATTTATGTTAAAATTAAATATTTTTTTATAAGTATATGTGGATGTAATTTAATAATATTTATAGCATTTATCTTCCATGGTGCTTTTTTTATAAAAAGAAAAGAAAATTTGTTTTAATCAAAGAGCTCAAAAATACTTCCTATTTAGTTGTTGACTGTAAATATATTTAACATTCTAATGCATAGTCCAGTCATTATAGGGGCTTAATAGACAGCTAAAATCAAAGCAGTAGAAATTTTATGTATTATTAAATTGTATATATGAAACTTTTTGCTACTCTTTCTGAAAGTATTCTGTAGATTTCATGAATGTATTAATAACATTCTATTGTATATACTAGTAGAAAGAAAGTAGGGTAGTAATTTTGACGTTTTTTAATGTACAGGTTTATCACTGCTGTGTCTATATTGTAGATTTTTCAAAATTCATTATGTTTGAATGATATTTTACTGAGAGATTTAATACAATAACAAAGTTAGACTTCGAAATTCAGCTAAATTGAATTTTCATTGTGTCATATCAGATTGCCTTTATGAATTTTATTGTTGTTAAGGAATTTCTGATTGTACATCAAGGCTTTAAAATGTTTTCTTTTAGAACTTATTTTCCTTTTTTTATTTTACTTAATAACATGTTTTTTTCTTTCAAATTCATTCAAGAATATATATGTAAAAAATAAAAGTTTATTTAATGTGTTAGTTTTCTTTCTTTGAAACTTATGCAATAATTTCTTTTATTATGATTTGTATATATAATTTTTCATATTGGCCTTCTAAATGAAAAGCAATCAGCATAAATTTGAAATAATTTCTAAGTATTTACTAATGTTTTATAAAAAGAAGCTTGTTAAACGTGCTTTCTTTCTTACTATGAAATCAATGCAATAATAGATTTTATTATTTGAACGTAATTTTCTATATTGGCTTGCTAAGTGAAATGGAATCAGCCTTAATACTGAATGATTTTTATACATTCATTAATTTTTTATTGTTGTTGAAATAAAGATACTTGTTGTAAACAAAAACCTCAGAGAGCTGCAAGGCATGCATAGCTTTTCAAAACAAAATTCATTTAGTATATGGAAAACTGTTGCCATTGAAATATTAAAAAAAAAATTATTATTTCGCTATTTATCAGAAATCAAGTGTAATGAAACACATTAGCAAAATTATTTGGTTAGAAATAAAATTTTTTACATGCCTTTTATATTGGAAGATTTCATTTCTTTTATGAAGAAACTCTAGGTTTATGACCTAAAACCTCAGTTTATAGTAGCCTTCAAAACTTTCTGAATTAATAATTATATCTGTTATTAAAAATTAATTAAATGTATATTTGACTGAATATCTAATCAAACATTATAGTTGTAATGTATTTGGCTCAACAAGATCTTAATATTATAAAAACTTTTTTAAAATTATGCTTTCTATAGGAAGAGTAAAGCATTTTTTGTTGTTGCTCTTTTTAATTGTGAGAATTAAATTTAATAATTTCTTTTAACTGTAAGGCCCATTTATTTCATGTTGTATTAATCCTTTCCATAGTATCTTATTTTGATAAATGTTTTTTTTTTTATAATTACTTGTATCAGATAACTGTTATAACAGTTCATTTTTTTCCTAAAGATAGAAATTTAAGTAAATTCGTAATAGTATAATAAATTTAAGTAAATTCCTAATTGTACAATTCACTTATAAATAATCGTATAATTGCATAATAAACTACATAAATGTATAAATTTTTTCACACTTTAATTTCAAACAATTGTTTTTCAGTATTTCCATTCAATATACTATATTTAACCACCAAGAGTTATATTATCTAGTTTATCAATCATTTATTTTTATTGTAATTTAGGTACGTTTGAATTACTTGCATAAATAATGAAACTTAACTATATTTTTCAATTTAACTTAGTGGCAGCTTAGCAATTTCATATTAATGGTTTTAGAAAAGGTGACACACATACTGGCATTTGTTCTTTATTTTCATGCTTCTGTCAACCTTATTTTTCTTTATAATGTGTTGCAAAATATGTTTTTTTTTTCTCAAATCAACAAAATATTTTTAACAAATGTAGTTACTAGTCGAAATAATTTTGCTTAATTCAGTTGGATTTTATGTTCATATAACTCTTATAAAAAACTTTTTTTATTACTACACTATAATGATAAGTATATATATTATATAGACATTGTTCTGGTAAAGTCTTCTGAAAGTAATGACTTTCTTTTAGTTCTTGTAATAAATCCGTTTTTTGTTCCCCTATAAAACTTCCTGTCGTCCTTATGCAGTTTTTCTGAGTATTTAGTTATGTATTACTCAGTTTGTTCCTAATCCATTTCTATGAAAAGAACATGCCATACAAATGCCCAATTATTCAGATTCATATTTTTGAAGTTTGAGATTGAGTAACATTTAATTTAAACTTTCATTATTTAAATTTAATAATTTATTATGTTAGATAGCATCAATTTGTAATCGTTATTTTTTCTTACTGGCTTTACTATTTTTAATTCATTATGATAAAAATTTGTTTTTATTTGTAAATTATACAAAAACAATTATCAATGATGTATTTTTAATTAGTTTTGTATTTTATACTCATTTTATTATTTTTGTTTTCATATTTTACAAAACTTCTTGTTCATTCTTTTTAAAGGTTACCCAATAAATTATACAAATTCAAACTTATATCAGTGTGTTTAAAACAGCATGTTACTTTATTTTAAAGCAACTTTAAATAATTTCCCAATCCTTCACATGAGGTTGTACAACTGAATTTTCTTAAATAATGTTAATACCTTTTATGTGATTTTTTAATAATGTTAATAACCTTTTAAAATAATTATCAAAAAGGATAGTAGTCGAAAAAATAATAGTTCTATTTGTTTAAAAATACAAACAAATAAAGAGTCGGTTTTGGAATTTTTTGAATTATTAAAATTTTAGTATAACACTGTAAAGCAAAATATTCTGTAATATTAAAACCAGGCTCTTCATTAGTGTATGATATTCAAATAGTTTATGTTTTTAAAAGAATCAAAGTTTTCAGCTTTTTAGGATTTTAATCAGACAGTCTATACATTTGCATGGTTTTTATATGACTGTTTTAGAATATCCCAATGAAAATTTGTATAACTATTATTGGTCATCCTTTTATGGAATTTTAGCTGTTTCAATTAATAAGAACATTATACCTTATTAGAACAAGTTTTATTTTTACGTTTGTTTACATTTTCTTTCTATATTTTTGTTACATATGTGTTATTGTTGTCCATTTTTATGGTGCAATTTAATTCCTTTGCTGACAGTCTATTCAAGGTGAAATTTCAGCTTTTTCTTATATATATTTGAACCTACAAAACAAATTTTGTTAAACTAAAACGTACATTCTCTAAATAAAGATATTTCTTTTTCAATGGACTTTAGTTCTTGACAATCAAATCAAGGATAGCTGAAATTTTGATATGGTCAATATAGTTTAGACAGAAGAGCAGTAGAAATTTTCCCGTCCTTATGTCAGTATATCTTTTTTTTCTTTTTGTTGTGTCATAAATTTGGAACTACCTTAGAGAATCTAAAAAATTTTTGGATATAATTATAAAACTTGTATATTTAAAGATGATATGGTAAAGTCAATGTAAAAATACATTTTTGAATTTATTTATTATTTTTTACCATTGTTAGGATCTGAAAAGTTTTTGAATTGTAATGGATGCAAATATTAATGTAATTATAATTAGTGTAATTTTTAGCTGCTAAAATCTAGAATTTAAAGGGACTGGGTTTAAATTGTCCTTGTGGAACGAAATTTAAGAAATTTGATTTTTTTGAAATTTCCTTTCTTAATGTGCTCATTTTTTTGTACTTACCTAGTTGAAAATAAAATAAAGCTTTGTATACCTTATAATTCAAAAATTTTCTAACCATAAAAATTATATTTTGCATAAAAGTTTTTTTAGATTCTCTTAAGTAGTTTCAGAGATATGAGAAATGTGCAAAAATTGTAATTAATTAGTTGGGACTGAACTTTTGACCACTCAACTTTTGTCTAAACTATTGGGACCATGCTTTCTAAATTGCCGCTATTCTCAATAATTTTAGCATCAAAAATCCAAATCAGTCCAAAAAAATTGAATTTTAGTGAGAAAATTAGTTTGTATCCGATTTTTTATTTATTTAAGGATAGGCCCTCAAAATACTAAGATGAAGTTGTGGAAACCGAATCAATAAATCAAAAGTTATTAAGTTAAAATCTCCTTTGTATCGATTGAAAGGTATTTTTAATTTAAGTGTATAAAAAAATCTTAAATTTTTATTCAATTAAGTATTGATTTCTTAAAAAAGGCACTATATTATATTAATAATTTTTTTAAAAATTAAGTTTATAATTTTTCTTTTAGCGCAGGCATTAATTAACAAATGTGTTTTACAATAATTTTGTACCAATTTATTTTCTTGATTGATAGCATTTTGAAGCATCACTAATTAAATCTTATGATTGTAAGAAAATTAGTTCCTTTGTGGATTTTGCAATTTAAAACTAAAATTTGATACTTTCTCTGTGAATCTTATCTTATCTTGATCGTTTGAATCCTACCACTGAAATAAATTCCTTGGCAATATCTTTTGTATTTTAGGTATTAAAAGTGCAATATTAAACAGTTATTTCTCAGTATATACAATTGTAGCAAAATTTGTTCACCTGCTACTGCATTTGTACAGTGAACTTTTACATTATGTTTTAATAAACTGAAATCTTTTATTGTTTTGATTTTTTTTACTTGTATGTTCCTTTTAATGGTGTTATGTCTAAAAACATTTAAACAAAAGCGACGATTGAATATTTCATTTCAAACATGTTCTTTCACTTATAATTTAAAAAAAAAATTCTGTATGTTTCCTATTGCTCAGAGTTTTGTAAATTTTAAATATTTTACTTTGTTTTCCAATAAAACCGTTGTGGTGCTTTTCTGTTGTCAGAAGCTTGATATTGCTGCTTATACAGGATTTCCTTAATACCAATCTTATATGTTGCTATATTTCTTATACAACAAAATACCTCTTGCAACCCATAATCTTTTTCAAAGTTTTAATTTCTAAGCCCGTTAAAATTAGCTCTTTACTGTGCATGTAGAAAGTATACCCTTGCAAGTGACACGAAATAAACACTTTTATTTGATGACAAAATACAAGCATTCTGTGATTGGAAGACAAAACCGTTAGCGGCAATCTGATTTGTATAAATTTAAGTCTTTATTAACAAGACAAAAATAGTCTTGCCCTATAACAATTTTGTAATTTGATTTAAAATTTTCTCAAATACGGATTATGTTGATTTGGATTTAATTTATGATAATTCAGATAGGAAGTCAATTTATTCAGTTTGAACTAATATTCATTTTTAGGTGTGTTATATTACAATCCTATTGTTCTCTCGCTCGAGAAACCAAAGTGAAAGAATGCATCAAAATATTTTGTTTAATAAAATATGTTCAGAAATCCAATTTGATTAAAATATGTGCAATAGTTTTCAACCTTTGAACTGTCATGACCGAAATAATCTCTGACACAGCACTGGTGTTCCTAAATGTCTGGGGAGAATCCTTTGGCCCTTCTCCCTTCCATCATCTCCTATTTCAGTTGCATAAGAATGTACTTTAGTATTTTTCTTATTTAATTGTTAAAAATTCCCACGAGACTTTCTTTTAGAACTATGTGTAATATAGTTTTCAGATCCTATCTTAAAAGATTTTAATCTATTTGAAAAACAAGACAGAAAGTAACACACTTCTTTTTTCTATGACTCTCTACACGCTAATGATGAAAGCATGCATCAGTAGAGAGTTCTACTCTACGCCACCTGTAGCATAGCCTAGACCAGGGGTGTCAAACTCAAAAGCTAACTTGGGCCAAGTAAACAGTGCTTAACTTTAGGTGGGCCGCAAAAAAAAAAAATCAATGTCCATAGAAACAAATATTTTTATTTTGAATCGTGCATTGTAATAAACATATATAAAGTTAAATTATTGTTTGATACTTGACATCTCTTCCCTGCTACTATCTCTCCTGTGTCGGGAGAAATTTTATTGGCCGAGACTACTTTCAAAATTGACCCAACGTGAGCGTTATTAATACGATTTCGGACAGGAGATTTATTTCCATTCATAACAGAAAATAATTGCTCACACTGTTAAGTACTTCCAAACATGGTAATAGTTTCATATGCGAATTTTCGAGTATTTTCAAACCTTGCCGGTAAATATTCGTAAAATTTAGGCACACCCACTTCAATGAATTTTGCCTTCAAATTTGAGTCGCACTGAATCTCAATCACTTCCATTTGCATATAACTGGGTACTGAGTCTATATTTATTGAGAAAATCGAAGAAAACAAACAAAATTTGACTTCCAAAGAATTAAAATCTTTAAACCTTGTTTCAAATTCTGTTCTAAGATTAGAAATTTTTTCTGCGTATTTTTGATACGATGCAGTATCCCTGGAAGGGCAGGTGCCGCAAGCCAATTAGAAATGTTACATTTTCGCGTGTACAATTTAAAATGATCCGAATAGTTTATAAATAAAGTATATTATAATTTTATATGCTAGTTTCCTTTCTAATTTATTTTTACTTTGTGTCCGATATATTGACTGGGCCGCAAAAATGTTCATCTCGGGCCGCGAGTTTGACACCCCTGGCCTAGACCATTTCGATCGCCAATTACTCGGGGGTAATTTAGCGCATCGTATATACCTGAATATATATCAGCTGTTTTAAACTCGAAACTATCTTGAGAAAAGTTAATTTAGATGCGAATTAAAACGATAGATGACAGCACCTTATTCAAAGTGCGCAGCATTTTTTTTGTTGCAAAATGGCATCCAGTTTTATAAAACATTATATCGATGATTTATCTTTTTTAATTTTTAGAAAATAATGCTCCATTAGAAGCGAACTTTACCAATGTCACGCAGAGTGGTAGCCACCTCTAGCGAATAGGCTACAAAGTCTTAATTTTTATGCCCGTAATTGAAAATATAAATTTTTAACTAGTTAGTGTATTTTATTATGTTCTAAACATACGATTTTTGCAATAAAAAAATTGACAATTCATGCACCCAAATCATCAAATTAACTCGACAGATAAAAGGCTAATCACATTTGAAAATTCCCTGAATTGTAACAATTTCAAGAGTACAAACTTATTCAATATTTCAGAATATTTACTGCAAATTTCAGTGAGGGAAGCAATCCTATTAGGCATTCCCCATCTACTACACTGTTTCAAATGGGATGAACAAAGGTAATCTAATTTAAATTTTCAACTCGTGGTAGTTTAATATGTAAACAAGCAAATATTTCAAATTGAGTTATAAGAATCCATAATTTTTCATTTAGGAATTATGAAACAGAAAACACCATTTATTAAATTATCATTAGCAAGCACTTTTGTAGGTGTCCAAAATGTTAATTTTGAAATAAAAAAGTTTCTTCACATCTTGCTGTTAGAATCAATTAGAATACCATTTTATTAAAATCAGATAAGCTTGTTTAAAACATTTTAATATACTCTGCCAGCTGGTTCTAGACATAACGTTGCAATTTTTTTTACCATTGAGGACAAGAAAAACCTCATTTAGTTTTCCACCTATAAATGAAATATACAGTGTTAAAAAAACAAACACCCTAAATAAATTTTGATTTAATACCTAATGGTAGTCTTAAAAAGTGAAGATCCGATCTTAATGGTTCTATAAAATGACTCCAAATATGCTAACTAGTTAGTGCAGAGGCCATTTTAAATTATGAAATCAGATAGAAGCATACTTTATTAGAACAAACATACCTTTTTTTTCCGACGGATATAGTATTTTAAAGATCAGATTTTCTAAAATTCGATTTTTTTGGGAAAGTATTATACCGATTTTTTTCAAATTTTGAATAAATAAATAATAAATATTATATAAATAATATATGAATAATAAATATTTAAAATAAATAAAATGTTTTTGGACTATTATAAAAACTTTTTACATAGAATTATCTTAGATAAATGAATTTTAAAATTTTTTAATTAGCTTTAAAAGTTGTCAAGATATGGCGAAATACGCAAATTAACAAAAAGGGGTTCAAACCTTTGACTGCTCTTCTGACCAAACTACTGGGACTATATTTCCCAAATTGTAGCCTTGTATTATGACTGTCAAGAATTCAAATTCATCTAAAAAAGTTATGTCTATTCAGAGAAAGTACATTTTTGTGTCTGGTTTCGTAACTTAAAATACCCTTTGCACTAACTAGTTAGCATACTTGAGAACACTCCTTTGAACCATTAAACTAGAGTCCTAGTGCAAGAAAGTATTATCATTAAATCGAAAGTTACTTCTTAGGGTGTTTTTTTTGCTTACTGTTCATAGAAAAAGCCTGATTTTAGTTTTTTTGCCTAAAGTCCCACACCTATAAAGAATTAGATAGGAGAAAAATTACTGTTCATCCCAGTTTTCTAATTGAGGGGCATGAGGAATCGGCCCAAACCAAAATTGTACAAAAAAAAAGTCAACATTTCACCAATAGGTAATACTTAGTTTTTTTTTCTTCTCTATTGCACAAAATGTCTAAAGCATAGTTAGCTCTGCAATTGAATACCTGTAAACAACATCAGTGAATAGTGGCATTGGTTGATGCCATGATTCAGCATAATACTCTAAGCACAACCACATGATTAAGCCCAATCATGTGAATTTGGTGTTATTCACTTAATTTTTTCTTTTTGCATTGTAATAAAAATAGATAACCTTGTGTAATTAACTTCAACACTAAACACAAACTAAGTTAATTGTTTTTATTACATATTTGGTTGATAGATAATATACAAAAGCACAAAATGATATTTACATATGAAGTTCAAGAAAAAGTCATTTAACATAAACAAATTTCTGTACACCAAGTAAGACTTCATAAGTTTATCCCAAAATTGGAGCAACAATGGAGTCTGGGAAAAGACTATGATAATTTACAACAGGGACATAAGCAGCTGTAATGACTCGACCTGTTGAAATTAAAATATACAAGTAAGTAACATATATAATTTCAATATACATATATATATTTATCTTACTCATACAATTAATTAAGGATACATTTTTATTTATTTTATAGGTTCAGCATTTAGAATCTCTTTCCAAAAAAAAGAAAGAAAGATGTTTAATAAAATGGAGAAAATTTTGTAACAAAAATAGAAATTAAAATGTTCATTGGTCACAAAGAGTTCTTTGAATTACAGTCCAGTCACATTTATGAAACCACCACCGCAAAATGCCGGTGGCAGTAGAGCGTGTATAACGCAGAGATGCCAACTTGCTCCGGACAGCAAATATATATTTTAAAGTGGTAGTTCACCAATTGTGATTCTTGATTTAATAAATTCAATTTAGTAGATTTCTATCCACCACTATTTCTAAATAATTCATAGGCTTATATAATTCACCACTTTATAGTACTTATGCCAAGCTATACCTTTTAAAAAGCAAGCAAAAATAGTCAAATATTTGCAAAGCTTACTTTGAAGTTATTTACCGCTTTTAAAATTAATTTGCAGTGTCCGGAGCAGTTGGCATCTCTGATAACGGGTACCTGAAGGAATTGGGAAAACATTGTCATCACAGGGCGCATAGCTAAATTTTTCAACAAAAAATAAGAACTAAAAAAATATTTTTAAGCACTTTAAAAAATAACATTATTAGGATACGAACACTAACAAAATTTTTTTCTTCCTACTGTTAAAAGTTCTTCATTACAAAACATTACATAACATTAACAAAATGCAAAATAATCTTCAAAGACTTAACATGATCATGATAAAATAACTATAGTTACTGACAAAGAACTCGTTTTCTCAATTATATTGGCCACCATAAAAACAATTTTAAATATATTCAATAGTTAAGTGAACCATTTTATTTTTTAAAATAAAAATTACCATAATTATGTAAGAAAAAAAATTATTCAAAATTATAATTTAACTATTATTTAGGTTATGAAGTGATGTATTTCGATTGATTAAAAAAATTAAAATAATTTTGAAATTTAACAACACTGAATATTGAAGTTAAACATTTTTGTCAGAAGTAAATTATTTATCCAGTGAGTGGTACTGCAACTGCACATATTGCAGCTCTGAAAAGGTCACATTAATGTGACTGTGTATTATTTTAATAAAATCAGTGATATCTGAATACTTATGATTAAGTTATGAATAGTAAGAAAGGGTGAATAAAATTTTCCTGTTCCTTTTTGTAAACTATATCACAATTTCAAGCAAGACAAACTACAAGCTAAAGAAAATATGTTTTTATATTATGTACATTGTGAAACTTACCAGCAAACCATCGTCCATGCAATGCGGTAACAGATGCAACAGCTGCAGCAATCGTAGGGCACTTAACATACACATTTCCCTGTGGAGACATTTTATCTACATACACATGCATAGCCCCGCCATGCTTTTTACATTCCTCGATAACATCATTTCGTATTTCTTCATCCCAAGTAGGGTTTGTTTCGCTGAAAATAATTTAAACCATTACATTTAGCTGATAAGTTAACAATTAACATTTCCTTAAAAAGAGAAATGCAACATTCAAAAAATAATTTTTCCTCAATTATCTGAAGAATTTAACTCCTAAACTGCATTTAATAATCCATCTCCCAAACAAACAGAACAAATTAGAATGTATAATTTCCTATTTAAAAAAATCTTATTGCAAATTATCACTTGCAGATCAAGATTATCAAGATTGCAGATACAACTAAAGCCATATTATTTTAAATTACAAATATTGCCCAATTTCAGTAGTTTACTTTATGTGGGAGGGGGGGGGGCAATATATGCTGCCGATTTTTCTTGATAGAAAACTAGGCTTTCTTTAGATCCTTTTTAATATTATTAGTGTTCATTTCACCTCAATCATCAAATATATTATTAGATATTTATGTTCTTAAAAATACTAAATACATAATTACAAAATATACACTTTTCATATATAAAGTAAACTTTCTTCAATGGGTTAACTTTCAGCTTTGTTCTGAGCAAAATGTTATAGTTTTAATTGCAAAAACATTTTTTAAGAGGTTTGAACAATTGAAATTGATTGTGTTTCAGTTAGAGCATTAAAAATATATACTTACGTGGCTGGATCAAACATGTTAGATAATAAAAAGCACTGAGTAGCAATAGCTGGAGCTGCAACTTGTTGTTGAGGAGCAACAATTCCTTGAGACATCTGCAGGGCAGACACAGCTGCTGCTGGTATATTTAAGTCTGTGCCTGTAAAGAAAGTAAAGTTTAAAAAAAGGAAAACTTTGTTCATAATCTAACAGACATACCCTTCAACTGCTATGGAATTTCCACAGTATTAGAAAATATTTTTCTCAGTGGTAGCAAAAGTAATGAATTAGTATTTTAATAAAATAATGTATAGAATAGAGTATAATAATAAAGTTAGAGATAATAAGAGAGTATAATATTAATGTAAAGAATACCACAGAAAAAAAATAGCTTATACATTTCAGAAATTTTTGTTTATTTGATCACAGGTGAGTAACTTGTAAGGTAATATAAAAACACAACTACCAATCACCATGAAATAAATTCAGATTTTCATTACAAAATGGGGAGACTAAGTCATACATTTATATTTAAATATCTAATTGTAGAAAGCACATCCTTAATCATTTTTAATTGAATCAAGTAAAGCAGCCAACATCTGGAAAATACGAGCCATGAGAGCAGTTTAAACTTTGATCAAACATTATTTTCATTTTCAGCTTCTAATTATAGAAATCCTTTACCCTACAATTATTTCAATATACATAGATTAAAACAATGAGGGGAAAACATATTTTGAGTTTCTTAAAAAAAAATTTGATTTCACACACATTTTATAAATTGATAAGCATTACATTTTGAACTAAGTTGAAAGGAAAAAATTGAAAATTAACCGAATATTTAAAATCTGAATTTGTTATCTAATTTTTTTGTCATTTTGTGTCTCTAGTCAAAACTAGAAGAAACTATAAAAATAAATAATATAGTTTACATAATCAGTGCTTAAGAACTTTTAAGCAAACTAAACCTAAACTTACAAATAGTAAAATGCTGTTCAAAATGTAAATTGTTGAAATCAATATTTCTGACTTACTATTAAAATATACATTCATAAATATGCAGTTTTTGAAAATTTTACCAACACAAAAGTGGCCTATAAGAAGAAAAGGCTAAGTCTAGATTTAAGGCACATTTTTTATATACTAGTTCATAATTACCTTCTGCCAGTTTAGCCATAAGTTGAAGCCGACCAGTTGCTCCCAAGTCAATGCCTGTACGGTCAAGTTCATCACTATCTAAAAATGATGGACCTTGAGTAATATCATTTCGTTCAGTTACATGTCCTACTTTCATTGGTCTACCAGCCAATTCAAATCCATTTAATTGCTCCAAAGCTTTTTTAGCATCTTCAGAATCATAAAACTGAAAAAAATTATTGGTACAGTTATTGTCTTTAAAATAAAAATTACAGTAAAGATGTTCTACAGTATGAAATAAGATTTATGAAATCGAACTATTTTCTACATAACTTGAAAATCTTTTAACTTTAAAATTATAATAATTTGATGAATGCTACTATAAGTATTCATTAAGCATTTCATAAATCGAGGAATTTTGCTTCAACCACATATGATGAATTGAGCATTCCGACTTCATTATTTTTTTCATATTTTGGGGTGTAAGCAAAAAATTTATTTCATGTGGGGTATGAAAGAGTGAAATTTTCAAGTAATAATAATAATAAAAAAAAAACTCATTTAATGAACAAAAGAAATTATAATTTCTTTTTACTATTTAAAATCTCTTACAGATAGAAGCGAAATTTAACTTATATGGCCATAATAAAAATGTCCGACACTTTTGTGATCACAGTAAACAAAATCATGGAGTATTTAAAAATAATAAATTCACACATTCTTTTCACAATTTAGGTACCTTTTTTAATTCAAAAATTACAAAATAATAACTTACTCAATTTTTTTCTTCTTTTTTTTTAAAAAAAAAACATATTAAGTGACGAGTTCAGCATTTTTTTTAAAGAAAGCTGTATAAAAAATTTGCAGAAAATATTTTTGCTTTGTTTTCTAAGTCTACAAATTCTTCCAAGCATTTTTTATAACAGAATTAAGTTATTTTTGTTACACGTATTTTCACAGGTCATATCTTTATGAGGAATGACTCATACTGCCAACTTTAATTTAGCCAACACACTATAGGTGTTACTTCTACTGCTACTGACTCAATATTTTTGTATCAATACTAACATACGAATGAGAAACTTTTACTCTGAAATGCCTTTGCACTGTAAAGCAAAAAACTGAATGTCTGGAATATCAAGAATCCAGCTTTGTTATCTTTTGTTAAAACTTTTACTTACACAGCAATACTATACACAAAAAACAGGGTTATTAAAAAAACAATTGAAATCATACGCCCTTTTAATGCAGTGCTTTATATATGCTTAGTATAAAACAGTATTGCACTTTTTTTTGGTTAATCAGATATATACAGGCCTGTATTAGATATTTCGAAAATAATAATTTTGCATTTGTAACTTTTTTCCTGGCTAACAATGAAATTTTAAAATAATAAATAAATATCTTCTCTTCAGAAAAGCAATACTTACACTAATAAAGCCATAGCCTTTAGATCTACCGGTTTCTGTGTCCTTTATCAATTCAATTCTTTCAATCTGAAAAAATAAAAACACACTTGACATGAAAAGAAAGAAAGCTAAAAATTTTTTTTTTACTAAATCTTTGTGAAATGATCATACAAACAATAATTTAAGAATAATGAAGGGGGAAAGTACCTTTCCGAAAGGTTCAAATATTCCTCTTAACATTTCTTCAGTAATATTGAAATGAAGGGACCCAACGTACAGCCTCATTGGCCCCGGAGTTCCTTTCATTATGGAGCTAGAACTAGCAGCAACTCTGTTTTTTTCAGCTTGAGATAATTGGACATGAATTTTATAGCCCATAAGTTCAGTATCATTAAGAGCAAGAGCCTAGATTAAGAGAGAAAAATTGAATGAATAAAATAAGTCATAATTAAATAATGCATTTCGATCTGTATTATTTAATACTTACAAGAGGAACAGAATCCACACTGACAAATTCAACATAAGCAATACCTTTTGAACGTCTTGTTTTATTATCCATGATAATTTTGACATCTCGAACCTAAAATAATGATTGTGTATTAAAACATGTATGAAAAATGCAAGTTACACTTTAGTTTTTATTTTATTGTTCAAAAAATTATTAAATAAACTAAGAGCAATAAATTACAAATAAGAAGTTAACTAGATAACAATTTAAAAATAATTTTTAGGTAAGAACCACTTTAGTTTATATATATTTTGGAAGTTTAACAATTAAAAAATGAATATCATAATAACTAATTATCTAATGGTCATATTTTAATGGCCTAAGATGCTGTAGACAGCTTAAACTTTGCCTTATGCTAATTAGGCCAATAGTAAATTAATAATATATTATTTATTCAGAATCATCATTGGATGAATGAGTTTTACAATTTTGTGCAAAAAGTTTATCATCAGAAAACACACAAAAAGTGAAACTAACATTTAGGGATGCAAATTTTCCACCACTTTTTGGACCAAGCTATTGGGGGAAGAATTTTTTAGACTGGCAATCCTACATATTTTGATGGAAAAAAATCTAAATTCATTGAAAAAAGAAAGTAGGTGCCAGATTTTGTAATTTTAAATATCACAATATATATGCAAATTAGTCTGTTTATGGTTAGCCCCTGTTAACTATTAAGATGACAACTTAAAAGGGAAAAAAATTATTAAGGTGTTCTCTTTTTTATTCTGTAAGACTATGTAGCGCTTTTAATAGAAATAAAGAAAATATTAAGTTTTTTTTTTTTAAAGAAAAAGATGAGTTGATTTAGAGACAATTTACAATAGATTACAGTAAAAAAAAAAAAAGTGAAGTAACTTGATCCATTAATTTTCCATAGGCAAAGTATGTTTTTTTAAAGGAAAAAAAAAATTAAGATAAATTTTAATCAGCATTGCATGGAAAATTGAGTATAAACAAAGTTCAATGGCAGAGTCAAGATTAATGGGTTATTTCATCATTAAATCATATTTTTAAATGAATTATATTTAAATACACTGGTATATATGAATTTACTTAGTATATATTATAGAAATTCTTTTCTTCACCAAATGTGTCAAAAATAAAAAATATTTGACTAAAAATGTATTACACACAAATTAAGTAACAAAATGTGTTCGAAAATTAAAATACAGGGAAAAAAACTAATTGAAAAATTTCATGTGCAACTTAGAATGCTTTTTATTATGAACTGATCAACGAGATAATGATTGGTACAAGTTTTTTGTTTTGTTTAAAGGCTGTTAGAACTATTTTTATACAAGAAAACAACTAGGAATTTTAAAAGCTTAGCATTGAAGAAAAGCATAATGCTTAAAAAAACTACTTTGTTTTCACACTTAAATTTTTTATAAGATATACAAAATAAATTTTTCTGACTTTCACAGACTGCAACCAATAAAATAGTTTTTACATTTACCCAGCAAATATAAAGGTAAGATATCAAAAGTAGAAAAATACATATTATTATTAACTATCCTATGGTTCCTTTTCAATTCTCGTGATAAATAAAAATCCTGAATTTTCCAAGAGCATTTTAATAAAATTCTTGACTATATTTTTGTTGAAGGCATTTACAAAAAAAAAAAAAAAAAAAAAAAAAAAAAAAAAAAAACAGAAACACTGCTTATTACAATTACTAGTATGTCTTAGAAATTAATATGAGTATTTTTCAATGACCTACAGCAATAAAGCACCAATCTATATTACTTGAAAGTATTAGATATTTAATCACTCAACAATTAGTTGAAAGAAATTTAGTAACAAATTAACTAAATTTGACATAGTGCAATATCTGGAACATCTGGTTTACAATATATGCTAGCATAAAGAGGGATATCCTTAAAAGCGAAAATTTAATTTCTGTAAGAATAAACTTGCGCCTTATCTCCTCACAACAAAATCTGAAATGGAAAAAAAAAATTACCGATCATAAAGGTACACATATATATTAAATCAAATTACCAAGTCAAAAATTATCAACAATTTAAATCTGGTTCTAATAAACTTATTAATAAACACAAATTTCAACCTTTCTATACCCAGTTAGGACATTATTCACTGATGACAGAGTCCTACAGAAAGATACGAAAAAGTGATCTAAATATTCTGTGTTAAATTTATGTATGAAAATAACTAACCAAATGTATTATGAATAGTTTATTTCAAATTATAACTTACTGGTCCAACAGATGAAAAAAACTCTTCTAAATCTCTAGCACGCACTCTCTGAGAAAGACGCATGCAGAATATTGTACGTAAATCTCTGTCTTCTGGACTAAGATCATCATTAGGCAAACTAAAAGATAAATATTGAAATAATTATTCAGAAGTTAATTTTAAAACTTTTTCAGCACATATATAAAAAATAGCATTTAATAGTAACTTACTTATTATGATGAAGGCTGTCAAAAAACTGAGTACCAGACCTAAATAAAATATTTTGACATTAGACATCAGTTATTAAAATAATTGTATTATCTTAATTCACAATATGACTGATGGGCACTTACCCTAAAGGACTTCTTCGGGGAGAATGCCTGCTAACCAAAATAAAAAAAAAGAAATGTTTTAACTTTGAGCATGCTTAAAAAATGAAGGCAAGCAAGCAACAAGGTAGTGAAAAACTAACACGCATTACAGTTAAAAAGGAACTAAATTATACATTTATAAATAAAATAATTCATCATACTAATAATTAACTAAAATAAGAATTTTATAAAATGCTATATTAGAAAATAACAATTTGGGACAAAACTTTAATATTGATTTGAGTACATAGAAATATCTTATCATGGGAAGTTCTTTTTTTTCTTCTTTAATGTAACAAAAATTTAAAATTTGTGAAAGTTAAAAAAAAAAAAAAATTGACACTAACATGCTACATAAAAATATAACATTAGCTCTTCCTAGAAAATTCAAAATTGAATGAGAGGGGAAAATGTTATTTATTAAAATGTTATTTAATAATTTTTAAATAAAATTTAAATTTCTTCAGCACTGCTAAAAAAATAAAGAAAGTAAATATACAGCAATTAGACAAACAAAAAACTGAAAAAATAGAAAACCATTTTGTTAATTAGCCAGCTAACTAAAAAAATTCTTAGTAATAGAGTAAATTTTAATAAATAGAATAATTATAATAGCAAAGGTGTGTTCCAGTATTTAAGAACTGAAAAATTCGATTTTTTCGATCAGTATCTGGACAATAATATCCTAGATATTTTTCAGAACCCATAGATGAAAATATAGTCTTACAATGATTTTTGTCTTCATCGCTGATTAAAAACACAAAATAAGTTTCTTTTTAATTACTTTATGTTTAATATTATATTTATTATTACATCTAAATTTCAGGAATATACCCGAGGAAATTATTAAATTTTGTGGACATTTTCTAAACATTTACAGGGGAGATGGTGCTTCAGTAAAATGCTAAAATTCTAGTATTTTTAAGAAAAGACACTTATGGATTGTGTGTACAAACAGTTTATTATTATTTAATTTTACTCTGGAAAGCAATGACTTAGTGAAATTTTGAAAGAAAACATTAACATAAAATAAAAAGGAAGTTTTTCTAAGAGATATGTGAGACACTGTAAAAGCAAATGCAAAGTATATGTTAGGCTTCATAATGAAGGGGGAAAAAAAACCTTCACTAGGTATTAAAATAATAACTTCTTAGCTGTGGTTGAAAGACTTTCTTTCAGTTTATTGTTTCAAAATTCAGTTTAAATGCTTAGGTATAAGAAAAATAGACTACCTGGGTGATCGTGTGCGGGACCTAGTTCTGTGCCTGTAATATTAAAAAATAGAGATTAAAGAAATGCTAATAATTCAATTATGCCTAAATATTAATATTCTATTCTAAGTAAACATAATCAAGTTAGAAGATCAAAAGAAAATTAATTAGTTTTCAAATATTTTTCTACATTAATCAGAGGTTTATAGAAGTTAGTATGACTTTCTGAAACAGTATACAGTGATTCCACTAGACTTAGGTAAATGTCCTTGGGATCCAGGACTTCTAATATTTCTTAATCAAAATAGGGTTCTTGATAAAAATAATTTTATTAATATCTTTTTTAAAGATATGCAAAAAAATAAAAATTTAATGGCAAGAAAAATAATCAGTAGCTGAATCAGTTATAAGTCGCAAAAGAATTGAAACTAAATTTTCGAATGAGCTGTCTTTAAAAACTAAACAAAAAACATTTACTAATACTAAAAAGGAAAAATTTTCATACATACTGCACATTATCATTAAGGGAGAATAAAACAAGTATCATTGAAACTGAGCCCATTACTTGCAAATAAAAGTGAAAAGTGATATTGGGCAGCTTTAATATCGTTTTAGATTGACAACAAATAACATAAACTATTGTGATCTTACAACGATATTGTATAGATCATTGGTAAATTATTCTATAACTATTGATTTATAATAATCAATATATATTATTAGTATAATTGCTTTCAGGCACAAACTGTTAATGTATAAAAATATTTTAAGAATTATATAAAAATATATTTTTAATATAATTAAGAAATATACGACAATATATCGAAGAAAAATGCTTCCTTTTAATAATTTTCAGTAAAAGTTCTGAAATGAAAGATACATTTCTTTTTTTAATGTGACCCAACATCCTCTTTTCTTTGCATTTATCTTTATTTTTTCATAATATAAATGTGTAGAGAGATAAAATATGCATAGAGAGAGATATTTGTGTTTGCATCACATATGCGTAACATCCATGGGGAAAAAATATAGCAAATCACAGTTAATTACCAAAAACAAATATTATATACGAAACAGCTTGAAAATTGTTTTTTTATAAACTGCTAAAAAGAAAAGGTAACTCAAAGTTTTTAATTAAAATTATTAAAATGCTTGCATTAAGGGAAAGCATGCTAAGAGAATTAAGCTCTGCAATCTCTTTATTGTTAATACATTATACAATGACATTTTAATGTTCAAAAGCATTTAAACAAATTAATTAAATATGTAGTCAAAAGCATGTGAATGGTCATAACTTTTAAATGCTTTTATCTTCCAAAGTTATTTACTTAAATAAAATTCTGACAATATCTGCAACTGTATTTTTTCTAGTCATAACAGGAGTTGTTATGAAAACCTACATTACATACATGTAAAATATATATTCAATCAATAAAAATAAAAAAACGTTACGCAAAGAATGAAAAAATTTTAAGGAAAGTTTTTAGTTCAGTAAAAGAAAAAAAAAAACCTATTTTGGTATAGAGATATTTTGGTGAAATGAAATGCTGTTTCACATTTAATCTTTACAATATATCCACTTTTTAGGTGGACTATAGACACTATAATCTAATTTATGCAAATGAAAAATTATAAAAATAAAATGTTTTAAATTGTTCTCTTATCTCATTAATCTAAGTTCAATACATACCTGCGACGATCTCGACGTGGAGATCTAGATCTTCTGTCCCTACTGATTCGTCTATCTCTGCTGCGACTTCTAAAAAATAAATAAAATTTATTTAAATCTTTAATTATGCTTTTATTCCTTAAATACATAATTGTAAGTATAAAGAACACCACGAAATAGCATATGTATTTAACTTTTATCAAAGCACAACAAATACCAACAATTCCATTTATGTACAGTACAGAACCCGTTATCCGGAAATCAGAAAACCGGAACGTAATTCGATAAATTTTCCTACCATTAAAAAAAAATTTTTTTTTTTTTCCTTATAAGATTTTAGGATTTTTCTTTCTTTTTGGAAAGATGTTTACCTTACTATCATTTTGGAAATAATCATTAGTGTATTACTTCGTTTTTTCTTCTTTTTAAGATTATTTCCAAATATTACTTTTTTTAGTTGGGTTTAACAATAAAAAAAACGGCTTTTTGTAGCGATTCAGAAAACCGGAAAAATCAGTTATCCGGAATAGCGATGGTCCCGATCGTTCCGGATAATCGGTTCCCTACTGTATTACTATGCACCAAATACGAAAATATTATAAAGGGAACTTGAAATGTTTTTAGAGCAGAAGAGAAACAGCACCAGCAGATTTATGTAGGCAAAATTAAAACATAATATGCACAGTATAACNCAGAAAAATTAGAATAATTCTGAGCATCAAATCACATGGCTGTGTTTCTATCATATTGGTGTTGTTTGCTCAGTCCTGGCCTGGATAGCTCAAAACAATACTTTTCCTTCAATTGCAATTCTTTGTTTTTTCCTTATCAATAGATATAATCATTATGAATAGGATTATTAATATATGAATAAAGAGGTTGAGAATTCATATTTTAAACAGGGATCAGCTTTTAGTAAAAAGGGATGCAGAAATAAAGTTTTGGATTGGATTGAATGTAGGGTTTAGTGGCACAAAGACCAAAAGAGGACATGCCGCGCCAGGTAAGTTCTGTGTTCGAAGAAATCGTGGTTACCAAAGTCTACCGGAATCCCTGAAACATATTGCTTTAATTATGGATTTGGAATTTAAAGAAATCACTTATTATACTTGCTTAATTGATTAGGAAAGTACTATAAAAACATTCCTTATAAGTGCAAGCATGACATTAAATTTTTTTTTTTTGAATAGCAAAAAATATTAAACTACATCATTTCAGCAAAAAAAAAAAAAAGAATTTGATATGTTAATGAATTAATTTACCTTGTTCGACGCCTGTCTCTTCGACCTCGGCTATAACTTCTTCTTCTGCGATCTCTGCTCCTGCTTCTATCCCTCCTCCGACGGTCACGACTTCTACTCCTGCGGTCTCGACTACGGCTTCGCCTATCTCGACTCCTACTACGTTTACTATCTCTGGCTCTACTCCTACTTCTGCTCCTTTTCTTCTTCTTAACACTACTCCTAGGGAAAAAATCAATTTTATTATTAATTATATTTATAATTTAGCTATATAATATAAATTACAAAATGGTATAATATAGGCTTCTTACAGAAGCATTAAAGAACTAAATTTTAAATTATTTAGCAATTCCAACTAAATGAGTTATAAATTTACAAAAATACCTTTTTTTTCTTATTTGTCTGATACAAGGGTTATCTTAATTTTAACTTACTTGATTTTTTTAAGAAAATCATTGATACATATTGAAATATTTTGTAAATATACTCACAAGCTTTTTTTTTTTTAAAGTTCAATATCATTATTATTATGGGTTTTATTAAGAGAAATGATGCAAATTATGATTCAAAATTTAAAATGAGATGCAAATTATGACTCAAGGATTTTTCACAAAAGTACAAAATCAGGATAAAAGTTTCATGAAACTAAAAGCTAACATAAGCTGTAAGTAAAATTCTTAATTTTGTAAACATATTTTAATTACATCTTTTTAGTTTTATGTTTATTTAAATACAAATACTTTTAAAAATTATTAAATAAGTATTTATCAGAATTTCAATTGGTAACTGTAAATTTTTGTTTTTAAAAAATTGGATTCAAAAATATATTATAAATACACATTAAAATTTTAAAAAAATATTTTTTTTAAAATATTTAATTAAAAAAAATCACGATTTTTGCCAACTTTCTTTAACGGTATAATAGATCAAGAATATTTGAATATTTATCCTAAGTTTTAAGTAACACAATCAAAACATTAAGAGACAGAGTTTGGAAGTCCCTCCTATTAAACTCGGTCAGCATGGCGCGAAAGAAGTTTTCTAAACTCTATTATAAACTATTTAAAGACTGTAGTTACAATTTCTGCAAAACTAATGCAACAGTCTAACTAAAATTTTGCATACTACTTCTAGACACAATTAACTATATTCTAATATATTAGATTGATAAAAAAAAAAATTAAAAGATTTTTTCAAGTCAATTTTTATTTAAAATTATTCTATTATTTAACACTTAATATTACAATTATCATTAATATTTGTCTTATCTCTTTCATACAAATAGGGTTGCCTGAAAGCGCGTCTTTAGTTCTTANTGTCTCTTCGACCTCGGCTATAACTTCTTCTTCTGCGATCTCTGCTCCTGCTTCTATCCCTCCTCCGACGGTCACGACTTCTACTCCTGCGGTCTCGACTACGGCTTCGCCTATCTCGACTCCTACTACGTTTACTATCTCTGGCTCTACTCCTACTTCTGCTCCTTTTCTTCTTCTTAACACTACTCCTAGGGAAAAAATCAATTTTATTATTAATTATATTTTTAATTTAGCTATACAATATATATTACAAAATGGTATAGTATAGGCTTCTTACAAAAACAATAAAGAACTTAATTTTAAATTATTTAGCAATTCCAACTAAATGAGTAATAAAATTACAAAAAGACCTTTTTTTTATTTGTCTGATACAAAGGTTATCTTAATTTTAACTTACTTGATTTTTTTAAGAAAATCATTGATACATATTGAAAATATTTGGTAAATATACTCACAAGATTTTTCTTTTTAAGTTCAATATCATTATTATTAAGGGTTTTATTAAGAGAAATGATGCAAATTATGATTCGATACTTAAAATGACTCAAGGATTTTTCACAAAAGGACAAAATCAGGATAAACGTTTTATGAAACTAAAAGCAAACATAAGCTGTAAGTAAAATTCTTAATTTCATAAACATATTTTAATTAGATCTTTTTAGTTTTATGTTTATTTAAATACAAGTACTTTTAAAATTTTTTAAATAAGTATTTATCAGAATTTCAATTGGTAACTGTAAAATTTTTTAAAAAAAATTGGATTCAAAAATATATTACATATACATATTAAAATTTAAAAAAAAAAAATATTTTTTTTATTAATATTTAATTTAAAAAAATCAAAATTTTTGCCAATTTTCTTTAATGGTATAATAGATCAAGAATATTTGAATATTTAGCCTAAGTTTTAATCAATACATTAAGAGACAGAGAGTTTGGAAGTCCCTCCTATAAAACTCTGTCAGCATGGTGCGAAAGAAGTTTTCTAAACTCTATTATAAACTATTTAAAGGCAGTAGTTACAATTTCTGTGAAACTAATGCATCAATCTAACTAAAATTTTGCATACTACTTCTAGACACAATTAACTATATTCTAATACATTAGATTGATTAAAAAAAAAAAAAAAATTAAAAAGATTTTTTTAAGTCAACTTTTATTTGAAATTTATTTTTCCCAAAAAGGGTAATTTAAAATTATTCTATTATTTAACACTTAATATTACAATTATCATTAATATTTGCCTTATCTCTTTCATACGAATAGGATTGCCTGAAAGCGTGTCTTTAGTTCTTAAAAATGGTTATATAACTAGCAGGAAATTAGTAATGACTGAGAAACTGAAACCCTCGCTGAAATATCAAAAGAAAATCTATATTAATCTTTAAAAAATATATACAGTGAAACCTCGGATTAACTGACCCTCTTGGGATTAAAAAAATTTCCGCTCATTGGAAAGGTATACTGGCCGAATATCGAATATTTGGCGGCAAAAATAGCAACATTTTTTAGTTAAAAAACAAATTTAATGCTGTTAATTGTTTTAAAGAAAAATTGCAATGATATAGAAATACAGGGTGTTCCAAAATTATCTTTACAACTTCAAAAATTCATAACTTTGAACATAAACAAGATATTTTTATTCTGTCTTTTGCATGTATTACTGCAACTAATAAAGTTTTTTTTCAATAGGCTGAAAAGTTATAAGTGAGGATGTGGACACCACAACAGAAAGCTCAATGCGTCTCATGGTTCATAGAGACGAAATCAGATACACAGGTTCAACGGAACTTCAGGACAACTTTCCAAAGAGACCCACCATCCAGACCCTCAATCCGTGCATGGCACACAAACTTCATGAGCACCGGATCAGTATTGCATAAAAGTGGAGCCGGACGTCCCAGCACAAATGTGGAGCGAATACGGCCATGAGACGCATTGAGCTTTCTGTTGTGTCCACATCCTCACTTAAAACTTTTCAGCCTATTGAAAAAAAAACTTTATTAGTTTCAGTAATACATGCAAAAGACAGAATATAAATATCTTGTTATGTTCGAAGTTATGAATTTTTGAAGTCGTAAAGATAATTTTGGAACACCCTGTACTGTTTCCTAGGAGCGTCCATAATGTGAAGTTTCACTGAATACACATTGTCCTATCTAAGCAAATAGACAATTAATTTTTGAAAATTAACATATAAAATTTTATGCCAAAAAATTAAAGAAATAGGTACACGCATTAGAGATGCTTCAAAGTACAAATAAATATTACCTTCTATTTTCTTTATCAGCTGAATGACCTCCATTGTATCGTTCTGAATCATCCTATAAAAACATTGAACATTTATGTAAAATAAGCAAGTATAACATTAAAACAAAAATCTGAATAAATTTCCATTATTACGATTGCTTTTACAAATAACTTGTAACATCAAGTCAAAAAATTTAAGACCTGAATGCAAAATATTTTATTTGTGAAGGTTTATTTTTCACAAAATGAATAATGAAATTTGAATCACAACAGAAAGTTATGAGTAGAATTATGATAAAATATTTCTGTAATTTTTAAACTAAAAGTAAACTTATGAATTTTAAATATCCTTGGATGCCAATTAACGATTGATATAAGTAAATGAATGCATAGGGAAAATGTAGCAGCTGATGCATTGAAATTTTGCAGGTTTGTCTTGATATTCCTGTAACCAAACCAGAAGTGGAGTAGATACCTAGAAAAATATGCACAAATATCGAAAATTCCTCAAAAAAATAGCATTAATGTTCTGTTTTTATTTAAACAAACCTTTTGGTTTTAATAGCTCTTTATAATCAGGTTGTATGAAGATTTCGAACAAGATTCCAGAATTTATCTATAAAAAAGAAACCAATAAATTTGCTTTTTGACCACCATCCTTAAAAACTTTTGTTAGTGAAAATTGAAAAGAAAAAACAATATGACTGATCCTTTTTGATATTATTTAACAGGAGTTAACTTAATTTTTAAAATTAAATCTACAAATCAAAATGTTATAATATCAAAAAGGAGACAAGGTTTAAATTTATATCTTATGAACTAATTATGTTTTGCTTACATGATTTTAAAGAAACCAAATATCTTGAAATATTTCTAACCATAATAAAAATATATAACTTGCCATAATATAGGGGTGCAGAAGACTTAAATATTTTCTGCAAATAAATTTTACAAATTTGTTTGTAAAATTGTATTAAATTTTTAATTCCGTTGATGTGTATTTAAATAAATGCCAATGATTTAAAAAAATTTCCAACACTTACGTCGTCGACTTTAAGCGAGGATAAATCTGATTATTTAAATGCAAGTTCTGTATGATTGATTTCAATAAAATGAAAACTAATACCTTTATAAAATTTACTTCTTTAAAAAGAAAAAAAATTAAATTGCTCACAATGTAATTGCCTATTTGTTTGCTATATTGTGAACTAAAAGCTACTAAACTGCATTTGTAGAGTTATCTAATTATTTTCTTCTAACTCACAGAGATTCTTCTCAAATATTTTTTTTGTTCATTCTGCACCCCTCTAAAAACGAATTATACTTTACACTTATTACCAACTTACAACGAATTCCCATAAATTAATTCTTAAAATGTAGTATTATAAATAATGGTACATTGTTCTCAAATAAAAACTTTCATTCAATCTTAATAAATTAAGCTATACATAAGAAGACAAAACATATCATGAGGAAATATCGAAATACGTAATTGAAAAACACAACAGAGGGGAATAAAATGTAGTAAATTTTTGTAGGGGAAAAAAAAAAAAAAATACATTGATGAAAAATAAAATGCAAAATCTACATTATACCGATAAGTCGAAAATTTTAATTCACAACAAATGTACTACAATCGAACCATTCAACCTCTGAAGAACAGCACAACTTTATAGCTGCCCTTCAATAATTCGTCTCCCCAAGTTGCTAATGGTAATCAACTGATGCATAATAATTAATAGGAAGTGCCTTAAAGTGACATTAGCTTCTGACAGTTTCTTTTAATGCTTGTAACTCTTTTTAGTGTTCATGCTATCTTAAGTCATACTTTTGAATTAATTTGACTATTTTATATAGTAAAAAGTTGGATCGATTTTAAAACAGAAAAATATAGATCTCTTTTCATTAAGATAGGCACCAAACTGACAATAAATGAAGACTTTATTTACTTATTATCTTTCTCTAATAATTTAGTAAAACAAATTACTATTTATTAAATTTTAACAATAACGGGGTTGCCACTCTAACCTGGAAAAAAAAAATTCTGTGTTTTTCCCTGAAGATATTATATGCGATATATTAAGAGGAAACACACTATCACTGTGCTTTTGAGTGAGCTACATTGTACTAACTATACTAAATTTAATTACCAGAGAAACTTGAGAAAACAGATATAGCTGAAATAACATCCTTAAATATGCCACAAATTGTGCTTTGAGTGGTCACCATTTTTTAAAAGATAAAAATAAGAAACAAAATTCCCTGCATTTTCCACGTGGAGAGGCAACCCTGAATAAATAAGATAGGCATGGAAAAAATCTACTTTAATACATATTCTTTAGAAAGCCAATGTTAAGGACTTTTTAAAAATACACAAATAATTAGAAGAAATTGGGAAAATAGTTTAAGAAGAGCTGGCAGCCATGGAAACATTATAATTTACTACACTAATCTAGATATAATTAATTTTGCTTTACAAGGGTAAAAAATATTCATAGAATTTTTTATAAAAAATATCTATTTTGTTATAAAGAAAAAAGAATTTAATAATTTCGTTCATTTAAGCATTATTTGGCATAATTTTAACGACATATAAACAATATTGGATTTAAATATAATGGGTACTTACTACAATACTGTATTTTAACTTTTGAGTAGAAGTAATTAAATTAAAATACAATTTTCATTAAATATTTTTGATTACTGTAGGTTTAATACTAGAGAAAGTCCTAACAATTCCTCATTAAAGACGTTAATTTTATAAGAAGCAATACTACATAAAAAAGGGTCTTTAACATTTAAAAGCATTAACTTTTCAAGTCAACAGAGCATTAACTTTTTAATCAGCCTCATATGTTTTGAAAGATAGTGTAAAATTGACCATAAATATTGATAGCAATTTTAGTAAAAACCATTAATAAATTCAAACATTTAATTTATTAAGCCATACAATGCAGAGGAAATTAATAATAAAATTTATAAAACCTGACTTATGTTTTGATAATTATGCATAAGCTAATAAGTCATAAAAGTTAACTTTATGTTTATTGTTTACAAATTATTTAACGACGTTTGTAAAGCTGTAATAGCTTTTTAGGATAAAAAATATTGACAAATATCTGACTAACAGAAACACCATAACTTGAAGAGAAAGCTGGTTGTATCAGATACAACCAAAAGCTTAGCTTCAATAGCCTTGGCATTTCATACTACCTTGGCTAAGTAATCCATTGGAACAGGGATCAATCAGTTCATTCTACAAGACAGAGCAAGAATATTATTTTTAAGATGTTTAAATTTTGAAAAATTAAACTTTAAATAGTAAATATTATAGAAAACTGAAATTTCAAGTAATTTAGAATTATAATATACCTCTTTTCTGTATGGTGCTTCTAACATAGCTTCCACATCAAAATCTTCTGCCATGGTCTTATCTAGAAATCTGCAATAAAAATTTAAATATATTTAATAGAATTTATTTCTAATTACTATGCTATGAATAAATAACAAAAATTAAAATAACTGAACACAGAAAGAAATAAAATTTAATCTCTAAATATTAATAAATTTAAAATATAAATAAAATATCTAAAATAATAAAACTACAGGGCAGGTATCACGACAATGAGCTTTTGAAGTGCGCTTGGAATACCTTCAATTTTTTAATGTACTTTAGTTAATAGTTTTTGAGACATTCGTCATTTAATAATAATTCGTTTTATCAATATTTTAATCCCTGAGGCAGAATTTTTTCAGGTTTTCTGTGACAAAACTATCTAGCACTAATGTTTTTCTGCAAGATACTTTAAATAATTGCAAACATATATGTTACTGATTTGAAATAACAAAGTGCTGTGTCTAAAATGGAAAAACTGTAGATATGTAATTTTTAATTGAATATGTATTTTTGTAAAAATTTATTATGATCGATATTCTCCCATTTTTTTGAGACAAAAACGCACTAATTACTTCCTTTTTTGCATTTTGTGAATCATTAAAAAAAAAATCTTGAAATCCTTAGCATAAACTACCGAAATAAAAATTGACGACCGAGTGTTTCATTCACGATTCGGTTGCTGTAAAAATATTGTATTAATAACATCGGATTTTATAAACTATGTGGAAATCAATAGCTATAATTGCCATGTGATAATCAATACCAATAATTGCCAAAAACACAATTGAAACACTATGTGGATTTACAATATTATCTGCGTAAATTGAGAGTGTGGAAAATGTGATTAAATTTAATTTAAAATGTAGATAATAATAACTGATAAATAACCGAAATTTTAAAAATCCCGAGGAAATTGGTAGCACTAGCAATTAAAGCCTAAATTAGCTGGTATTCAAGACTTTACCAGCAATAATTGTTGAAAGGTTAAAAAAAAACAATAAAATCGTCACATTGAAAGTAATTAAGAGTAATAAATATATAAAAGTAAATAAGTGCATAAAAAGTTTTTCCTTTTTTTTTTAAAAAAAAAAGAAAATTCATAGCAAATTTTCTTGAATGAACGATGGAAAGACCGAATGGATTAACAATAATATCGGTGCAAGCTGAGTGTAAAAAAGAGACTTCTAGGATTTGAACTTCACGTGCCGCAAAGCATCGCACTTATTAATTGGTTCACCTCTCACCTTAAACTGTAATTAAGTCTCCACTCACAGTAATATTTTACTAATATGATGTTTAAAAAAAATTAAAGAAAGAACATAAGAAAGAACTAATCATCTTCTAAACTTTCGCGATTTTTTAAAAATTATATATCTGAAATTCTATGTAAAGTCAATTATTTAAAATTCTTCAATGAGAACGGAAAAATCATGATCAATCCTCTGTAGTCAAATCCTTTAACAAAAAATAAGCAACTTTTAAATGCTTTTTAAGCACTCATAAAATATTTTCAAGCACTATATACATAAACAAAATAATTTTCAAAACATTTACATGATCATTATAAAATAACTAGATTCTGACTAAGAACTCCTAGTTTTTCATTTATTATATTAGCTATTATAAAATACTCAAGAGATTTTTCGGTTCAATATCAGAGTGTGATATATGAAGCCTGAAATTGACAATATCTTGTAAAATGCAGCATAGTTGTACATGAGAGAGCAAGAATCCACATTAATAGGCGCACTCGCAAGTATTTCATCAAACATAGAAAAATGATTAGCGCTTTCATACGCTACCGACTGAAGGTAAGCCGAGATGGATTGTGAAATCGTTGAATGGAACAATGTGAAAAGCACGCTTTTGCATAATACATAACCAAAAAAGGCACGGTAAAGAAGCAAAAAATCTTTTCGAAAATTAAGCACTTTTTAAAAACATCCAATGAAAAATGCACCTTTAAGGAGTTTTACTTTTTTTTTCATTAACGTATTCTGTTATTAAACCAATTTACTCTTCACTGTATATCTAGATGCCATATTCCTCTCATGTCTTTGAAATTTTAAGGTATTTAGCTTGAGCAAAAATAACCGATTTTATTATGTGATTGGTTAATTAAAAATTAAATAATAATTTTAAACATTTTATTTATAAGTATAAATGCTTTTAAATAATACTATGCATCATTATTAATTCATTTTATCAGATGTTATCAGTTAAACATAAAAGAAATTTGATATGAATCAAATCAGGGTTGGAGTTTTTGCCGGCAAAAAGGGGTTTTTGCCAGGACAGTGGCAAAAACCTGGTAAAAACCGGCAAAAACTGGTAAAAACCGGCAAAAACCAAATTATCTAAATTGCTGATTAAATATTATTACAAAATACTTGAAACAAATTTAAATCAATCATAAGGAGGTAATTGTTCTCNGCATTAATGCGCAAAAAATTTGAACGTCTTACATGAAGAAACCTTACCTACAGTAAACACGTGGTTGCAGAGAAATGCGTTCTGAAAGAGGTTCGGAGGGATGGTGTTCTGTAGTTCTTAAAGATTTTAACAATACTGGTAAACAGGGAAGCTAGATAATGGGGCAGATGTTGAAAATAATGAAAGATCCAGGAAGAAAAGTGAAACGGATTTTATTCTAAATGGCGCAATGAGAAATTTTTTTCAAAATGCGAGAAATTCGCGAATTTTGAAATTGGTTTATAGAATGCGCGAATTTCTCGCGGTAATCATTTTTTAATGCGAGAAAAGAAAAAAATATGCGAGATTCTCGCGCTGTAGTGAAAACACTGCTACTGATTTAAAATAACAGAAGTGCTGCGTCTAAAAAGGAAAAACTGTAGATATATAATGTTTAATTGAATATGTATATTTGTAAAAATTTATTATGATTGATATTCTCCGAATTTTTTGAGAGAAAAACGCACTAATTATTTCCTTTTTTGCATTTTGCTAATCATTAAAAAAAAGTGTGAAATTCTTAGCATTACTACCAAGATAAAAATTGACGACCGAGTGCTTCATTCACGATTCAGTTGTTGTAAAAATATTGTATTAATAACATCGGATTTTATAAACTAGTGGAAATCAATAGCTATAATTGCCATGTGATAATCAATACCAATAATTGCCAAAAACACAATTGAAACACTATGTGGATTTACAATATTATCTGCATAAATTGAGAGTGTCGTAAAAGTGATTAAATTTAAAGTGTAGATAATATTAACTGATAAATAACCGAAATTTTAAATATCTTGAGGTAATTGCTAGCACTAGCAATTAAAGCCTAAATTAGCTGGTATTCAAGACTTAACCAGCAATAATTGTTGAAAGGTTAAAAAACAATGAAATCGTCGCATTCAGAGTAATAAATATATAAAAGTAAATAATTGTAAAAATAAAATAATAAAAGTAAATAAGTGTATAAATAATTTTTTTTTTTTTAAAAAAAACAGAGAAAATTCATAGCAAAATTTTTTCAATGAATGATGGAAAGACCCAATGGATTAACAATAATATCGGTGCAAGCCGAGTGTAAAAGAGATACTTCTAGGATTTAAACTTCACGTGCTGCAAAGTATCGCACTTATTAATTGGTTTACCTCTCACCTTAAATTGTAATCAAATCTCCACTCACAGTAATATTTTACGAATATGATGTTTAATAAAAATTAAAGAAAGAACATGATTTTTAGAGCTAATCATCCTTTAAACTTTTGCGAATTTTTAAAAATTATTTATTTGAAATTCTATCTGAAGTCAATTATTTTCAATTGTTTAAAATTCTTCAATGAGAATGGAAAAATCATGATCAATCAATCCTTTGTAGTCAAATTCTTTAAGAAAAAATAAGCACCTTTTAAATGCTTTTTCAGCACTCAAAAAATATTTTTAAGCACTATAGCTATACATAACCAAAGTAATTTTCAAAGAGTTTACATGATCATTATAAAATTACTAGATTCTCACAAAGAACTCCCTGTTTTTCATTTATTACATTAGCTATTATAAAATATTCAAGAGATTTTTTGGTTCAATATCAGAGTGTGATATATGAAGCCTGAAATTGAGAATAGCTCGTAAAATGCAGCATAGTTGTACATGAGAGAACAAGAATCCACGTTAGTCCCAATCTTTGAATAGAACTAAGTGAAAAGCACGCTTTTGCATAATACATAGATAAAATAGGCATGGTAAAGAAAAAAAAATCTCCTTTTCGAAAATTAAGCACTTTTTAATAACATCCAATGAAAAATGCACCTTTAAGGATTTTTATTTCATTAACATATTCTGTTATTAAACTAATTTACTCTTCACTGTATATCTAGATGACATATTCCTTTCGTGTCTTTGAAATTTTAAGGTATTTAGCTTGAGCAAAAATAACTGATTTTATTATGTGATTGGTTAATTAAAAATGAAATTATAATTTTAAACATTTTATTTATAAGTATAAATGCTTTTATACATAATATTATGCATCATTATTAATTCATTTCATCAGATGTTATCAGTTAAACATAAAAGAAGTCTGATGTGAATCAAATAAATCTCTACAATTCAAATGGATCACGATTTCAGCCCACCTAAGAAAATCTATATAATTATAGAAAAATTAGAATTCATCCGCAAATAAAAGCTTAATTGAACAGTACCCAATCCTAGGGGCCCTGATTTTAGTCTGATGAAAAATAAAATTTACATTTGTTTATTGTTTCTTAGTGGTTTTTGTAGTCACCCTGCTTTTTAGTGCGACATATTTTAAAATTTGTTCTGCAATTCTAATGAGAAATAAAATTTGTTCGATCATTAAATTAATATTGAAAAAAATTAAAGATTAATAATATTTTAATACTGACAGAAGAGTTTCATTAAAAATGTTCAGTGGTTATATTATTAGTGAAGGCAGTGATCTTTTATTATCCTTTCACAAGATCTTACAAATTAATAAGCATTTTTTGTTCCTTACAACTTAACTTACCAAATTATTAGAATAGATGTATAAATATAGAGTAAAACAGAAAGAGTGTAGCCGAGCTTTTTTTTTCTTATATTACCGGAATCTTCCACAAATATTAACTAAATAATTACTAATTCTAAAAGAAAATTTCACCAACTCCGACAACAAAGGCTACGGGGGTTTCTGCTCTTTCTAGAAGGTTCGTTTTATTTTCCAAAACTGTACAATCACAGTTAAGAAAAGAAATATATAATTTGGAAAAAAACGTTAAATAACTGTCATGCATTTTACTCGCTATACAATTTGATATCAAATTATGCACGAATTACAAGTTAAATCATTTAATAAATTTCAATTCTCAGAAATTAACCACTTGATATTTGTTTTTTGCTGCGTTCGAAAAAGAAAATTCTACGTAAAAGAAAGTTTTACGAGTTGCTGTTTGTAACGCTCGCCTTCAAATATAAATATTACAACGTGTTGCATGGATTACACGGTTTAAACTCAACAATTTGTTTCAGAAGATGAATATGACGGTCTGTTTATTTACGTCATCTGCAGCTGTCGTGTAGAATTGCAATTTTATGAAGAGTAATACTTAGAAATTAAGTTATCGTATAAGTTAATAGTTTGAAAAACTAGACTTAAATAATATTAGTAAAAATGACTGCTTTCGAAGGTAGTATTTCTCCGTTATGAAGCTTTTGTCTAAATATTTAGTATTTTAATATTTAGTATTATTCTGATTAACGTAATATTTTTCTACTATTGAAATAATTAATCTATGGAATCTTTTTATACTTTTATGAAAATTTTTTAATTTTTCTTCCTTTTTATTGTATTTTTATTTATTATTGACAACAGACATAATATCAGTTTTTAGTTATTTCTTGCCGGCGTTTATGTTTACTTGCGTTACTAGCTAATTTACGCAACAATTGAATAAAAAGATTATTAAAGTATTTACATTTTAATTACAATGCACTAAGATGATAACTTAAGAAACACACGCATATAATATCAAGCCTAATTTGAACGGCATAATTATTATTAGTTGTTAGTGAAATTTACTTCAATATTTTAAGTTTAGTTTTATCTCAGAAATAGCATTTTATTATAACTGTCGCCACATCATCCCATTAGGAATATAATATTTGCATTTAATAGGAAAATGCACATCTTCCATGTGTAGTTTTTGGAACAATTTGATCGGATGATGAATCTAATCTCTTTTGACTTTGGTATGTTTCTTGCTCTAGGTGCCTAAATTCTAATGAAGTATCAATTTAAACTTCTGTGAAAAAATCTCCTAAGCCACCCTTTCAGATATAAGCTTTATTCTATCCGTGATGACCCGAACTTGTTTATTTTTCACCAGAATGTTTTGTTGTAGCATTGAGCAATCTTGTGAGGACCCGTAAAGAAAGCTGATAAAGAGAGTTTCTCAATACGCGAGAACATGTCTTCAAATCTTGAAACACCAACATAGGCTTTAATTTTTGTTGAATGATTTGATATTGGTGTAATATGTATTGCTTCTGTATAATTACAAATAAATGTTCCAAAATATCTATTTTTCATTCTTTAGGAAATTGTTTGGTAATTGTAGATTTTCACTATTAACCATTTCTGTAGTTGAGCATTTTAATTCATTTTTATACACAATTCATAAACGCAACAAAACAGATGACAAGAAAAAAGTAAAAACTCTGAATGTATATCACATCATTACTGCTCTTAAATTATGATGTAATCATTATATCATTCTGATTAGTCGGTGAAAGGAAAATGTATGTGATGTTTGATGCATCAATTCCAAATGTTTTTCTGTAGAATTGAATAGATCATTTTGCAATTCGCTACCAAGATTGATAGTGGTTGTTTTAGATACCATGCACTTGGATATTCGACCAATATATATCTTGGGCAATTAGGTCAACTCATAGAATAGCTTCTGGCTATGGTAGGGGTGCACAACCTTTTTCAGTGAAGGGCCACATGCACAGCAGATTGACCAATGAAGGGCCGCATGCCAAAGTGTTTAGACCGACATATTGAAAGCAATTGTTGGTGGTGATTGTTATATAAACATCATTGTTTATATAACACTAAATTCTTTTTGTCGGTTAACCTTGTAATCTCTTTGCAGAAAATACAATACTTTAAAACGTTTAAAATTAGAAAATGCAAAACTGATTACTTAAGAAGGAAAACAGAATTCGAAAATCAGAATCAATTTATCAGAAAAAATTTAGATAAATTGAAATAATTAAAAAACTATGGAAAAATTGAAATTTTTTT